TACGCTCCGCGACACCCCGCTCAATGTCCGCGAGCCGCCTCGCATGATCCGCTTCAACCGCAAGCCTTTCGGCCGCTCGTATAGATGAGGAACGAGACGCGGCGGAGGGAGCCGCCGCCCGAGAGCGGAAGCGTGTATACATTATAATAAAATAAGGAAAGGAAATAAAATAAAAGGACTTACCAAATTTTGTTTACTTCTGACACCAAATAAAGACGACCGAATATGTAAGGATGGAAGAGCGTTAGGATTAAGATGAATTTTGGAATATTATGTTATATAATAAAAAGATAAAATGAAAATATTAAATAGAATTATTAGAGAAAGGAGAAAAGCACGCACTGTTACAAGAATATATTTACAACAACTAAGAATAAAAAAGTGTAAAAAGTTCCGTATCTGTCGGCAACACAAGGCACACTACACATGCAGTTTTTTTATATAATATAATAAGATGGCAAGCGAGCGAGCGGCTACCTAAAACAGCGATGTGAACGTTGCCCATAGACATACGCAATTGCATATGCGTTGCCTACATTAAATCGACGGAGGAGATGATACACAGAAAGAAAATATTTTCCCTTCCCATGCATTCTCTCACCTGGAAAGTCCACTTCCACTTCCCATCCTTTCCTTATAAGAAAAAGACTTATTTAACTTAGACTTTTACCAATGCCTCCCAGACTTCAATGACCTTGAACTACAATAGTTATATGATATTTTCACATCATACCATTAAGGTACAATTAGTATCTTTTTTACTGTGTTTACAAGATTACATTGTAACGAGGCATTAAATAAATAAATGGCCACATTATAAACAAACTAATGTCGCCCGAGACTTATAAAGGAGACGAGGGTTATAAAATAGCTTAAATAGCAGTCGTAGTTTAACGAGATGTATACAAAATTGACATATAAACACGGCTAAACACTCACGTATATCCGTCCGGTGGCGGCACCGACTAGTTTCGAGCCCATCGGGGTCCCTTCATCAGGATGAGTCTTACTGGTATTATTTCGCGGACGCGGCCCGTCGCTCATTATGAGATGTATACAGACATCCATCCAAATATTCGCATTTATAATATTAGCCAGATTAATGCGATTTTGCCATGAAATGTAATGCGACGCATTTAAACTAAACGAGTAATACAAGATTCGCTTAACCTTACTTTTTTATCTTGTCGATTGTTTTAATTAGCAATAATTTAATTGTAATAAAGTAAACTGGTTTTTGAAAGATCAGAATTAATAACGTTTTTGTATGTTCTTAATTTTTATACAACGCAATTAAAGGTATGATATGTTACTATACAAGTGTTTTGACAATAAAAACTCAAAGTAACTTTTACGAGTATGTATCATTTATCGTTATTCAGATTGCCATTTCTGCACAGATATACGTATTTTGGTCTTGAACTAAATTGGTGTAAGGAGTCCAAGCAATTTTGTAATTAATTTAATATTACTTTTTTCTAAATGACCCGAACTTTTTTTTATAAAATAGACATCGTACAAAAATCACTATATGTTAGTTTTATTCACAATTACTGAAATTAAATAGGACATATCTTAGATTTTTTTATGAATAAATATAATTAGATATACTAATAAAATAAATAAGTAAATAGGGATTGTCCGGCAGTTTTTATGGTTACAATAATGATGACAGAGTCAATGAACAGTCTTGACAACATTACGTGGTGCGATTTACAATTAACATCTAAGTCTAGCAATTTCTAATATGGTCTCTGATAAATGTGATTTCGGATACAGATCTTTGCATATTTAATAGAATATTTTTTAATTCAATAAATAATATTTCCAGATCGGATGCATTATACTTAGGAGCAAATATACAAAACTAGCTGTCGTTGGCGCGGAATTAAAAAATCTGAAATAGTAGCCTATGTAGTGTTCTATACCTATATATACCTTCTAACAAACATCTATTTATCCATCCATACATCCTACTATTCCCATTTATAAGCTACAAGTAAGATAGTAAAAATGGAGCATAACGCCATCTAGTGAAAATACAAAGAATCAAAAATTTGTTTTTTTTCAGAAACATTGGTTACTTGGCGAGCTACATCGGCGCCGACTTACTGGAGCCGACTACATTACTCTGGATAGGTCTTCTAGTTCCTACTGTCATGTTCTTCATCTTCCTGCTCATGCCGGAGACACCGGAATTCCTCGTCAAACAGGGAAAAGTTGATGTGAGAACTGCTTCCTTGATAATATCATGTGTGTATGACAGTTGAAAATTTAGTCAATTTAGTACTGGCAATAATCAAAAATAGGTTTAGATTTTGACTTGATAACGTTATGTCAAAATTAATTTGTGTCAACATAACGCCTGTTAAATTAATCGCGGCAATATTTTGTCTTATATGTTTTGCTAAGACAAAAGAAATTGGATAACCGTTTGCTTAGCAGCCATTCTTGTTTTATAATAGCGGATTCTACTGACATATTTAAGTGTACAATTAGGTAATAAACATGTAATTGAAACAGGAAATCAACCATTTAAAGCTACAGTAGTACTTATACTGTAATCAGGTAAATTCTATAATTATAATAATTTTTCGAAATTGCTGGTAACATTGCTATTATGGTTATTACACTGATTGACATGAGTTGACGAAAACAAAACTGTCCGTTCCTATATCTACCCACTATTTTTTTATAGAAGGCGCACATGACCAACTGGACTATGCAATAAATTTTAATATTTTTTTTCCAGGAAGCCAAAACTGTGTTAGCTTGGCTTCGAGGTGTGTCCACGTTAGATCGTAAAGTGGAGGAAGAAGTAGAGGGTATAGTGAAAGCTGAAAAACGGACGCAATCTGATACTAAATCTGTGTGGGGAATTATACGTAAGTATTAAAATCTTCTAAAACTAAACAATCACAATAATCTTAAATGACGTGGTAGGATTATAAAAAATGACAAGCTCTTAATCATTGATAATGGTTTAATACACCAAAGAGAGAGCTGAAAAGGTTAACTCAAATTATATATTTAATATACCGTTCTCTGTTACTCCACCTATTTTACATGTATCTTCCTTTTCATGTGACGTAATATGTCACGCTACCTTTTGACTTAACCCTTTAAGTGCCGACTAATATTTTTCACTGATACAACCTAATGAACATCGACAGTATCAAATAAAAAAATCATTTTTTAAATTCCAGTAAAGGACAAGCCAACATTCAAAGCGTTCATAATAACATTGGTGATAAAGATAACGCAGCAGTTTGACGGTTACCTGATTGTGCTGATTTACGCGGGATTCGTGTTCGAGCGGGCGGCTGACTACATTAGCCTAAAGCTGAGCCCCAACAAGCAGATCATAATGATAGGTGTTGTGCAACTACTGGGATCAATAGTGGCCACTTGTATTGTGGAGAAGACTGGGAGGAAGGTACCAAATTGTTTGTTCGTTGATAATTTTTCATCAATAACTATAGTACTGACAAACTAAATTTTGACAGCTTACTAACGCACTCCTGTCAATGTCAAAGAAGTGTCACGAGATGATTTTCGTATCTTGGTTTTTTTTCTTTTATACTATTTGGCATAATGCCAATACATGTACATTTTATATATTTTCTATAAGATAGCAGCGTCTCTCTCAGTGAGCCAGATATCCTTGTTTGACTATAGAACTGGCAGATCCAAATTATCTATTAACATAATAGGGTTGTGTAACGCACTTGGATAGTGGGTAACATAAATGTTAAAATGCAAATCAGACAGTCTTATAAGTCGTTTTTTCTTTCAGTTACTCCTGATCACAACATCACTAGCTATGGGTGTGGGTATGCTGACTCTGTCCGCATGGTTCTACGTCACCGCGGAGGGAATCTGGCTGCCGGGCTGGCTGCCAGTGCTCGCTATGTGCGTCTGTATCTTCGCTGATGCAGCCGGCTTCCAGCCGATATCTTACATAATTATCACCGATCTCTTTACATTCCAGGTGAATAAATTCTTTAATTTATTTTATTGCAATATGTCCTAGTAAGAAGTAACGCTTTTAATTATTTTTCTTTTTAAATTAAAAAAAGTTGACAATGGAGTGGATTGTTCGAATAAAAATATTTGCTATTTTATTTTAGTAGGCGCTGTGAGAAAAATATTCATGGTTCTTGTTTAGTTTGACCCGCCAAGTTTACCAATATACTAAATAAAATAAAGAATTCTATTAATTTTCCAGTTACGAGGAACGGTGTCGTCGTTCGCAAACATATGCGCTAAACTCAGCAACTTCGTACAAATGAAATGGTTCAAGAATCTCAGCGAATTGATCGGCATACATTGGACACTTTTATTTTTCGCTATTGTCTGCTTCGCTGCTTCCTTTTACACTGTTATATTCTTCCCGGAAACGAGAAATAAGACCGTTGATGAAATATACGCGAAGTTATCCAGAAGGAAAAAGAAGGATAACGAAGAAGATGTTTCAAAATCAGGTCCTTAATTCATATTTTAGTAGACAGTTAATTGAGATTATGTCGAATGAAAAGCATTTGTTATGAAACAATTTAAAATGCATTTAAAAGGATTATGTACTTTTCGTACTAGGAGGCTTTTCAGTTTTGTAATGTTTATTTTAAATAGTCATATTTCTTAAGGTTTGAAAAATGTTTTAATCGATATTTGTGTCAAAATCAACGCGCGTTATCGATAAATTAAGTATATCAACAGTGGAAATTAATTGTAAAGTAATTATTTTAACTTTATTAACTGTATAATAAATGAGAGTTCTCAAGTGTCATATTTAAATAAAAATTGTAGATTTGTTTCTGAATATTATTCCTTTATAAAGAAAATAATTTATATTTCATTTCAATCCAAAACCGAAATTAATCAGAGGAACGTCAAATACGTAAATAGCGGCCATTACGATTTATTTATTGGAAAGAGATAAACTGAAGTCATATCGTAAAATAAATCCTAAAGTTATACGTAAGAAAGTACAACCCTTATAGGATCACTTTGTTGTCCGTCCGTCTGTCTGTCAAGACCCTTTCTTTATTTTCAAGATTTTGTGATTAACAGTTTGTCTATGGTGAAAACCATTTCGAATTTGGAATGGAACGAAATATATGATTGTTAATACCTTGTTTATTATCGACACATATTCGAGTAATCTAGACATGAATAAACAACTTGAGTTTGCACTACTGAAGAATTTATACAAAAACATTTTTAAACTAAACAGCTCACATGCAATTCGTCTGGTGTCGGCATCGACTAATTTAGATCCTATCGGGGACTTATATTCAATATGAATGGAACTGGCATGTTACCGCCCGTCTCTTAGTCCGAACTCCAAGAATAAAGTTAACTAAACGGAGTTAAAATAAAAAAAAAAACATCCAACTGTAAGTTTCTGAGACCAAAATCCGAATTAAAAATATATTGTTAGCTCTGTTGTCAAAGATTATAGATTTTATACAGAGATTTTGACTTTAGAAACAGGTTACAGATATTGTGGAAGAATTAAAATATTTTGGTAATAATGTTTCCGGCGATGGAAACTCATGTAAAACGGAACAAAACTTGTAACTTTCAAGTTGCTTAATAACTTAGGCTAAGAAATAAAGATAGATTTAAATACAAATACAAGGATTATATGAATGTATGAACTAAAATGTATGAATTATTTTGTTGTATGTGTTTTTTTGTATTTAATATTGAATAAGATATTTGATAAATTTTTAGTATAAGATAAAGTCACTTGTGTGTAATTTTTTTGAGTAATCTATGTTTAAAAGGTTATTTTCGTTGACATACTATCAATTTTATATTAATATTTTATGATAATTTCAATAACAACTTTCTATTTAATGACAAAAATATGATTTCAAAATATGTCTATCGAAGTTTGAGAATAACTTATTAAATTATTAAATGTAAATTGCTTAAAAAATAACTCACAAGTGACTTAGTATTAAGTGCCTCTCAGAGGGCGTTATCGATTCCGTCCCCTCTTTAATTTCTTAGTCTATGTTTATTAGTCTGTATATTTACAAATGGAATTATTTTATCAATTTCATGATACTTTTGGAAGTTATTCCAAGAAAGAAAATAATTCATAAATGTCTTACTTGTAGAATCATTAATTACATAAAAAATATTTTTAACTTTTGATTTGTTAATGAAATGTAAATATAATTTCGTAATAAATTATTAAATTAACTTTATTCATTGTTTTTTTTTATATACAAGCCGTCACCCGCGACTCCGGATCATCATCATCTCACACACATACATCTCACTGTAAGTCCCCACCGAGGGGCTCGGAGCCTACCCTAAGTTAAGGGTGATTAGGCCATAGTCAACCACGCTGGCCAAGTGCGGGTTGACTTCACACATGTCTTTGAATTACTTCTCAGATATGTGCAGGTTGCATCACGATGTTTTCCTTCACCGTAAGAACGTCGGATAAATATACAAATGTAAATCGGAAATCGAAAAACACATTGGTACGTGGCGGTATTCGAACCCAGGACCTGCAGATTGCAAGTCAAGTGCTTGACCACTGAGCCACCGACGCTCCTCCGCGACTCCGGGTGCGTGGAATTAAAAAACATAGTAGCCTATGTGCTCTTCCAGAATATGTTCTGTATGTGCCAAATTTCATCAAAACCCGTTAAGCCGTTTCGTCCTTTATACAAAGATCCATTCAAACATTCGCATTTATAATACAAATTAGTAAAATTAAACAACGACGAAAACGAAACAACGTAAACTATCCCAGTATAAAATCTACATATCACTTAGAATATTTGAAATGACATATAACGAATATTTGATTGACATTTAATTCTTCTTATCTTATCTTTCTTGATCTTTAGCTTTACTTTATCTATTTTAAAAGTTGCGACGGTTAAAATACCAACAAAGATCAACCTTGAACAGTCAGTCTGTTTACAAAATATATTAAAAATGGCCTATTTTACGATTTTATTTTAATTTAGAATACGTTCAAAGAATATTTAAATAAAGAATTCACTAATAGAAACCTGCCTTTAATGCCTGATTTATATTATGAAAATGCCAGCACAACAGCGCTGGCATAATGTAAACAATAACTGGCACCAGTGACTCCATTAAATCAAATTTAAAAAAAAGTACATCAATCCAATGAATCGGCCGAATAGGCAAAAATCTCAGTGTGCCGATTACTCGGTAGGCCAATCTCCCCAACAGGAAACACATAAACGTTTAACCGCTATATCGTTAATTATCGTTTTAAGACTTAAAGGAAATAGTAGGCAATAAAAAGTCTGGCTAAATAGTTACATTGAAACTTAACCGTTAAAATAATAGTAGAATAAGTAAGTAAAATATGGCTTCACTTAACATAGGCTTCTATTTTTTGTACAAAAGTATTTCCTACCTGCAAAAGGGTCGTTCCCGCATTTATGTTAGTAACACCTGCTTTCTGAATAATGACGGCAGTAACTTTAATTTAACACAACTAAACCCTCTTTTTTATTTTAGTTTATTTACTGTCTTTTGGGTCAAAATATTACCGGTTATGGTTGTCATATTTACGTGAATATTCTCCCTTATAAATCTTCTCGACTATTACTTCATTTAGTTCTTAGGTACACAGAGAGTTTCTTTCATAAAAACCAACACAACAGTTTTGATTCAACAAATTGTCTTCAACTTCTTCACGTTTAATCACATAAAATGCACTTCAATTAATATTTGGAATTACGTATCAATGTTATTCCTACATTATATGACACCACTTTGTCACCACGCCTGTCTGAGACAGCTTACAGATTTGCTTTAGTGAATGGACGGATACGAACCGAAGCGCGCGCACATCTTGTTCCAATCTTAAAATTTGAATTTCGAACATACATCGTTTATCTTGTGGTAGAATAAAACCTTTTTGGTAAAACAATTTGTATTATTTTTTAAAGTTAGATACAATTTCCAGCCAGTGTTGTTCATTTTATTACATTCTGTGAACCTTGGGGTGACATTCCTGTTTCATGTAATTAATCTGTGAGTACTTTTCGATAAGTTTCTTTTTATGTAAAAGTACTCTTAGTGGCCAGTGACATTGTGAAGTTGTTACGTGTTTTTTTTATTAAGAGAAGCAATTAAATTATTATATTTATTTTTTAATTATAATAAATATAAAAATTTATTTCGAAAACTAATCCAGGCTTATATTCCATTCTTGTAAGTATATTTTTATTAATATTTTTACGATATATTTTTTAATCGTGATTTGCTATATTTTACCCTAATAAAAATGGAAACAATATAATGATTATCTTAAACTTGGTTTTTACCCCTGGGATTTTTTATCTATTCAAATAATATATCAAAATATCGATTGCACAACAATTCTATTTTTTTTGTCAAGGTGTTTATTTTCCATTACATTTGTTATTCTGATCACGCAGAATAAATTAGTGTGATAACATTAACAATTAAAATACGTAAGCTATACAAATATTAATGCAAAGTTGCATATTTTAATTAGGAATAAATTGTAAATAGTTAAATTTTATACGATATTCTTATTTTAAATGATGACCATAGATTAAAGTATCAATTTTTATTATTTCGAAACACTGACAATCTTAGTTTTTGTGGTTAGCATATATCAGTATACAAGCTGTCCCCGCGACTCCGTCCGCGAATTAAAAAATAAAAGCAATTATTAGCCTATGTGTCCTTCCAGACTATGTTCTATATGTATACTAAATTTCATCGAGATCCGTTCAGCCGTTCTGGAGATACTTTCAAACAAACATCCAAACGTTCGCATTTATTATATTAGTAAGATTAGTAAGAAGTACATATATCTACGATAGTTATTATTTTTTTAATTGGATTATAAATTTTTAATCAATAGATTATATTTAATTTTAAACTTTTTAAATTATTGTGATTGTGGTTTGTCTTATGAGAAAGACAAGCGTGAGATGTGATGTCATGTAACACCGTTTGTCATCTATACTTGAGTTTTTGTCATGTCTTCATGAGCTTCTGTCATGTGATGATAAAAATCTAAATAAAAATTAATTCTAACACAAAGCAATATTTATAAATATGCATTTTATTGTTTAAATCTCCGGAAAAATATAACATTGATAATTTAAAAGTTGGCGAATAATTTAAATTAATTTTCCTTTAATAATAATATTAAAGTGTTCAAAATATATGCGATGAAATACAAGTGGTGTCGTGGGAAATGTTTTTTTTTTATTTCAAATTGATTCAATCTGCTTTTGAATTTATTATATTTAATTTTGCATTAATAATATTATAAATGGAATTTTTATTACAATATTAAGATAGATGTATCTTTTAATAAAAGATATCTCTAAGGGCGATCTTTTGCAGCTTTATTGTCAGTTTGGGCTGAATTATAACCTAAAAGTATATTTTTATTATTATACTGATTATTCTCGACAGAAGCCAACTGGGATTAGTTTTGATATTGTACAGTAAAATACCGGTTAAAAATTATTAAAAATTATATAAACTACGGTCATTTACTCTTATCGGTGAAAAATAACTTGAAATCGTAAAACTGCGATAAAGTTTTTCCAATTGAAATATAACGTTTTGTAACCGCTTAACTGGTTTCATTATTCAGTGAATGTTGCGTTAAAATTTGATATGAAGATGTTATAATAATTATTTCAATGCAATGAGAAATGCTTTGATATTTATTGAGTCAACGATACTATGCGACATTTAACATAATGAGTCCGTGTGAATAGGTTTTAGCATATCCGGCGCCCTTAGGGAGATTTTTGAGGGGCTCCACAGGCGTCCCTTTTATATTTTTGGCGCCTGTCGCGCCCCTTTATGATGGACGCCCTGGGCGGTCGCCCCCCTTTGTCCTACAACGCCGCTACTGCCGGCGAATGCTGTCTTAGTAAATATTAGCAAACGTTAGCACTGGGCATCGAACTTAAAGTTCGTATTGACATCACTTAAGACGATCGTATACTGAACTACTGCGACTTTATCTAACCGTGGGATTACACTGTCCTATCTTGATATTACCATCTCAGTAATTCTCGTACAAATAGAAAGAGATAGTGATATGTTTGTTCAGTTGTTTTATCAGTATAAATCTACGGTATTATAAACAGTACAAACGTCTCCATTCATCTTTGTTTATCGTATGCATAGAGTAAGCGTTATTTGTTTTTTTAATACAGTATGTACTAATATTTATTTATGTAGAGAGTTGATCGCTGACATGTTTGAATGTGTATAATAAAGACGGACAGACACACTGTCACCAGACTGTTTGTTTATGAGTTAGCTTTTAAATATTTTTTTTATTAATAACTATATGTCGTCCGCGCGGAATTAAAACCTCATTAGTATCCTATGCGTTATTCCAGACAATGTTTTACATGCATGTCAAACTTCAGCGAGATCCATGCAACCGTTCTGGATATACCTTCAAACAAACATCCATCCATCTAAATATTCGCATTTATAAATTAAGTAAGAAGTGAGATAGTTGTAGTTATCAATTTATCATCATCATCATCAGCTCTCTATACGTCCCCACCGAGGGGCTCGGAGCCTACTCTAAATTAAGGGTGATTAGGCCATAGTCAACAACGCTGGCAAAGTGCGGGTTGGTTGACTTCACACATATCTTTGAATTTCTTCTCAGATATGTGCAGGTTGCATCACGATGTTTTCCTTCATCGTAAAATCGTGGGATAAATGTACATATGTAAATCGGAAATCGAAAAACACATTGATGCATGGTGGGATTCGAACCCACGACCTGCAGATTGCAAGTCAAGTGCTTGACACCTGAGTCACCGACGCTCTATCAATTTATATTACGACATATTTCGAAATAATTGAATAAATTGAATAATTTGTTACTATTATGCGGAAGATAATACATTTGTATTGGAAAATACGAGCCGTCTTGTGAATTGTGAATGTTAAATTTTATTTCGTTGAATAATCTTTCGTCATATTTAAATCAGTGTTTCGTTCCGTTGTTTTTCCCTATTTCATGTTCAAAGACACATAAATAAAAGAAAAAAAAACCGTGATGTATATAAAGGAAGTAAATAATGAACTAAATTAATCACGTATTTCAGTTTACAAGAGTTTGTAACCTTGTAAATGACATATGCAAGTGGCAATTATACGTGACAATGCGCAAAAAGTTACATGAGTTGTTGCGATGCAAATATGAAAATTACGTACTTTTTAATTTAAGCCAGGGCCCACTGCGTATGAATGATTCCCTACGATCTGTAAAATTGTATTCTTCGCAGCAACTCACAACGGACGAAAAGAGTTACATGTTGAGATGTGGCCCTGATAGGTTTGATCTCTTAATAGTTGTTACTGTTTTCGTTAGATGGTTTGAATTGCAAACCGTCATAATTAGAGTGGTACTACAACTTTATTTAGTTGCAGCGAGCCGAAATTCACAGAGGCTGCGTACAGATGTGAGGAAGACGTTTGAATATTGATGTTTAGTTACGCGTTGATATTGCACTGTTTATCTATGGTTTTTTTTATTTGTCATTATTATGTTTTACTTACTGTTATTATAAAATATGTTATCGTGTAAACTGTACGGATGTCATGCAGTTGTTTTTTTTTTAAACTTTCGTATATTAACTTTGTATGGTGCTATGCTGATCATTAACCAAGTCCGTCAGTGGAATCCCTACTTTACAAAGCAATGCGGTAGTAGCTGCCATGTTTATCTCGTTTATGGAGCAATATGTTATCAGGTTTAATATTATAAATTCCTTATGATTTTCTTAGTACCATTATAAGCGATCTGTGTTACGATAACTTGAGATATTTTTTTATCTATAGTAACGGTAACCTTGTAGTTGGTGATCGGGTTTGATATATTATTTTATAGATTAACTAGCAGCTGCCCGCGATCGTCCGCGCGGAATTAAATGTCTAGTAACCGGGGATAATGTCTTTTAAACAGTAAAAGAATTTTTCAAATCGGTTCATTAGTTTCGTAGATTATACAATGCAAACAATCAAATCTTTCCTCCTCACATTAGTATCTAGACTAGTACACCTTTAAGTACTGATAGGGTTATTGAATGTGTACATACTCCTAACGTAATAAATTCTTGTTAAATTAATGATTGGAATCAAACCCAGGCCTGCTAATATTGTGAGTAAAAAATGCAACCGTAATCCGCAAGGTCATCGACACTGAGGAATAAAACAAGTTCGAGCGAACGAGTGAAAGTTTGACATAAATTTTATCAATAGCCAAACAAAATGTACAAAGTTTTGCCGCGCGGAATACTCGTTTGGCAAAATACTCTTGTATTTGTAAATTTAAACTTAAATACAAATATAATAGTAACTTATAGCGAATAATACGGGAAAATATTTGCCATAATTTACGATAACAATATCATTAGAATACCAAATAAACGTTTATAAATACTTTATTAAATTCGTAATTTTTGTTTATGAAAATTAATTTGCAATTTTAATCGTAAAAAAATATGACTAAGTTGGATTTAATTTGACTAATATTCTAAGTGTTGTGTTTTGTGGTATTGTGGAGTTTTGTTTTTGGGTGTATCTTGGATGATGGTATGCAAGCATACAGTTATATGCGGAAATGGATGGCGTACTACGAAATTAGGTAATAATTACTATATCTTAATCTGACTAATATTATAAATGCAATTATTTGGATAGATGAATGAAGGGGAACTGTTTGTTTGAAGGTATCTCCAAAACGGCTGCAAAGATCTAACTGAAATTTGACATAGATGTAGAACAGTCTGGAAGAACACATAGGCTACTAATATTTTTTTTTTACTCCCGCGCAGACGGATTCTCGCACGACAGTTCCTTTAGTACAAATATTCGACAAAAAATTAAGTGTATAAAATTTTATAATTCAAAAATTTCTGGTAAAGAATATAAGGAACGAAGATTTAATAAAATATTATTGACAATTTTATTTATAAAAGTAAGCAGATAAAATTTTAAAATTGCAGACTAACAGATTAAAAAAACGATGTTTTGTAAAAAAAAAATATTTTTAAAAATTTATTACATAAATAGTAAACATTCCTATAGTTTTATAAATAAAATATCACGCATGTTGTCAATGTGATAGTGACGTAAATATTTCGGCAATACCGCGTAAGTTTCCTTGGCTGTATGGTTACGGGCGT